CTGAATGTGTTTTCTTATTTTATGGAATCGCTACGTTTTTTTATATGCACACTTTAAAATAACGAATCTTTTAAGATTATTATTAATATTCCTGGGTCCTTCGGTAAAGCCACGTAGATAGATCAAATAATAAAAAATATATTCTCAGCAGCTCTCACGCGATATTTCTCACCTGATGACGATTGCCTGTGTTGCGATCGAAACGTCGTGATATTGTTATTATTTTATTATTATTTGATCTATCTACGTGGCTTTACCGAAAGACCCAAGAATATTAATTCCTGCAGTCACGAAAGCTTTAAGCCAAGATTATTATTAACTTCGTATCTTGATATTATTTCAATGTACACAATTTTACGTTGCAAAACATATCATTTGAAATATTATTTAATGTTAAGTACATTACTCGTATTGAATGATTACACACGCTACCAAATCTGAACTCTGTAACCCCTGTGCCTACATAGCATTCAATGCTTCATTCCCTCCTTTGGCTTCCTGAGCAAAACCCAAGTTAGCCCCGATAGGCCCTCACGCATTTTTACATTAACGATATCAATGATTTACATTACTTCAACAAATCTTCTAAATTTTGCACGGAGTCAAAACACACACCAAATATCAATCCTCACATGTGGAATGTGATCGACTCGTGAAGAATCATTCACTGGCGCTGTTGACGTCGAGATCCCGCTATTTGCGGATGCCCCAATAGTGAGGCGGCTAAGATTGTGGTAAACAAGCGAAAACATCCTCCAGCATTCGAGCCGTAATCCCGCAGCTCGGCAGGCTCCCCCATGCGTGTAAAATAAGGAGTCCGCACACTGCCCATTAATTACCGCTGGGAAATTATTAACTTCGCCACGTGCAGATGATTAGCGAGGATAATTTAATGATTAAAAATAAAGAACGAAACAAAATCCCATCATTGCGCACACAACGTGACGCAGTGCACATGACCCACTCTGCGGTGTGAATCCGTCACAAATCAACAAACAATACCACGGCTATGTCCTCGCAATTTTCTTTTTTCAAACGTGGCATTAACGGTTATCTACGCAGCAACATCTCCGAGCCCAGAACAATTTACCAAAGTAGGGTGAATCGATTGTGTGTTTGTTGCTGACAAAACTCGAGCTGGACGAAAATACAAAGACAGTGATCCCCCCTATAGCCTTAATAGACTGTTGGGGCAAGCACTGTTAGCGAGCACCTATGAAGGCCGGCACGGCACATGACAGACTGGGTGGCCAGCACCACGCCCGGCCATCTTTGTCTCCCCAGTGGCGATGTTTACACACCGCACCAGGTACCTATTTGAGGCATTTGAGTGGACATAAGGGAGGCCCAGGACCGGTTAAAATAATTGTCACTGATGGTGGCCGTGAACGGGAATTCAACCAGGGTCGCTGGGTTCGTAGCTCTCTAACCGCTGCACTACCGCTCCCCTCCATGCGAACACACACATTGATGCACACAGCACATACAGCAACAACAACAAAAGCTGCCATTTGGCAGTAAGGGGCAGTCATATCACCATGGGATTTCTGGCAGCTAGGTCCACTGAGGCCACATGATGTGCCGAAAGCTCACTGGAACGAGGTCAAAGGACATGTCTAGATGTTTTTGAGTTAACACGCAGACACAAGTCCTTAGTTTAACCCACAGATTATTGATCAAGCACTCCACCAGGGGTGGCCAACCTGCAGCAGACCAAGAGCCAAAAAGCATCCGTGCGAGTTCTGCAAAAAGCCAAGTGTGTGTATAAATAAAGTGTGTGTATATATTGACAGTTTTCGCCACAGCACACGAGACATTCATTATTCTTTGCTACTACTGTGATGGTACGTTCTACATTATGCTTCTTCGATCGAGTAGCATGTGGTGGATTAAAGAGACACATGAGGCTCGGGAGATGCCAGTTGGCCACCGCTGTACTACCTTTACACTGTAAGGAATGCAGCCAACACCAAGCTTGACCATCTCCATCTCTCCTCAATACCATAAAAGTCCTCTTATTTGTTACCGGCTGCCCTTATTACCCACGTACACACACAATTAATTACTGAAACTCCTGCAATCTGCCGATGAATTATTCAATCCTATTGTACATCCATTTTGTCAATGCACTGCTGGATGAGGGCCTCCCCATTTCGGCTGGTCGTGGGGGTTATATGACCGTACTTTAGCAGCCTGGCCAGTGCAGGGTTGGTGAAGGCAAGGAGCATCGATGCTGGAGCAAAGTATGACAATATAAGGTCTCCCCGCAGCGGTATTAGAATTGCTGTTTGATGCGAGGTGGTCACCCATGCACGCGCTATACACAGGCTCCTTCCTGATTGGCTTTCAAGATCTGATGAAATTGGATGCATTCTGGGTGATTTGGTTACATGCATATTCCACCGCTTACTTCGGGTTGTTTTTTTTGTTCCAGGGGCAAGATGAGTGGAGTGGAAAATCCACTTTTTTCCCCACAGATAATAATCAGAATCGGAGTAAAGCGGTTGGAGAGTGGTTAGTACATTATGTGGAATATTTGCTGGTTTATTCCAGGATGTTTCTGTTAAGCGTTGTCGCTTTAAGATGTTCTGTGTTCAAATTTTGTTTGTTGCGGTTGCACCCGACTTAAGAGCCGCATGGCTCACAGGGCTATACCTAATAAATGAAACTTGAAACTTGAAACCTAAGTTCAATTCCTGAACATCGCTAAGATCACTAAAGATATCTTAAATCAGTCCTGGAATCTCCCTTTACCTACCCGCACAAACCAGTGTGGTCATACAACCCCTAAGATTGACAGCTTTGTCAATCCAATGCTAAATAAAGTCCGTCACATGCAGTGTTGGCCATGAGGCATTTGTTTTTGTTTTACCATACTTCACCACGCTGGTCAGGACAGGTTGACGAATGGGGGGGGGGGGGGGGGGGGAGCTGGTTCAGATATCACTCAGCAACGACGACGTTAGCGATGGCCAGCAACTCAACTTAGGTTGCTGGGTTCATGATACAATGGGATATAACCACGACAACATGACATAAATACATCTATGTTGTCCAACCCATCTTACCAGAGCAGAGAAATATGGTAAATACCTACCAAATATGGAATACCTCTACATAGAGTGGCATGAACACCATACCAATGGCGCTCACCCCATTATTTCCATGATAAAGTGCCCTTTCAATGATCAATTTTCCGTCAGGTTTTGTACGGGCACGCATTTCATCTTCGCAGTGAATCTTAAATGAAAACTGCAGGCTTGGATCAAATTCATAACAGCCAATGCTTTGGTCCAAAACCCTTCACGGGATTCCAGTGACCAGGCAAGGCTGCTCCGCGAATGGTTTGCGAGGTGCCACCAGGCCTGTTAAATCGCCGAGGCGTACACGTCACCACCAAAGTGGCGCCGCACATTTTACTGGGTCTCTTTAAACGAGCGCACTCACGGTCTCTGTGGCGGCGGGCAACGTTTACGAGGGTGTGTGAAAAATAAAACAAAATTCCGCGACCGTGAAGATGCTGCCAAAAATATAATTGTATAAGTACGCGCCAGAAAATATAAAATGTTATGTCTGTACAATTTGTAGCATGCAGTATTTACTGCACAGCATGTCAGTACCTCGGTGGTCGGTATAGACAACTTTGCATGTTGCAAGTCTGATGCAAGTACCGTACAGTAATGAGAATTAATAACTTCCCTTTATATGGTACGGCACGAAGTTCGATACACTTGGCAAACTCCCGTGTGATTAGGGATATCAGTCCAGGTAATAGACTTCAAACAACTGCACTAAAAAAAGTTTTCGGGAAAAAAAACTCCGAAAAATATGCCAAGACTCAAACCTATTAGTGCTCTGCAGTACTTTGTTTTACCAGATAATTTATAGTAACCATCAGCACGATTTAAAACTTGGCCTCGCATAAAAAGGTTGCTATCAATTTTAGCACATCTTGATTTGGTTATTTTAATAATGCACGCAAAAATGTTTTATGTAAATTATTCCGGAGGAAAACATGCATTCAGAGAGCATCCATATATGTTATTTGCAGCACAGTTTGCTGATGTCGTGAAGCAGCATAAACAATCACGCAAATTCCGGTCATCCCCGCAGCGGCTGGCTGGCTATCGAACAGACGGTCACCGCATCGTGCACTTTCAAATGCACTTTCTGCGGCCGTCTGACATGTTCTTCCTTCAGATATTAAGACGCCACAGGACCTTTTGCATTTTTAAATCTAAACTCGCCTTTTGCCCGTCCAAGGACAGGTGTATTGCAGTAAATCTGAAACTTGCAAGCGAAAAGCAGACCGCGATGTGATATTCATTGCATCAATTCGTGTGCAATTTGCAATGCCGCGGTGACACAGACTTATATCATTTAAAGGTTAAAATCCTTTGTTGATCATGACGTCCTTTTTACTTCTACGTCTCAATCGCGTTACGGAGATCACGTGACGTGAGGGTTCTGCCTTTGTAGTGAGGGTTGTGAGTTGACGCTCAGGAGGGGGGAGAAGGCGCCTCGCCCCCCCCCCCCATGTGGAGTGACGTCAGCTGCTAATTATTATTGGGTGGGGGGGTGTCCATTTGGAGGACGTCACCTCTTCATGATTATTAATGTGGGGGGCTGTTCGATGTGGAGTGACGTCACCTGCTCAGGATTATAATTAATGAGGGGGGGGTGCTCCATGTGGAGTGACGTCACCCACTCATGATTATTAATGAGGGGGGTTCATGTGGAGGACGTCACCTGTTCATGATTATTAATGAGGGGGGCTGGCCGACGTGGAGTGACGTCACACGCGGGACACACAGACATTCTTTGGTAAATATAGTAGTAAATTTAAAACGTATTTGTGTCCTTCCAACGCACCTCCGATTAGCACAGCTGGCCCCGTATGGTGTAAAAAGAAGTTCAACATACATACATAGCAACAGACGAAACGGAAAAAGATAGAGTGGGACCACATTGCTCACGCGTACCGTACCACAGTACTGTACCGTATAAAGTCCTTCCATTTCACATCTTCAAAAGTCAGCCTTCGAGACAGCAGGATGAGGGAAGAATGGAGGTGAGAAGCACAGGCAGGAAGACATGAAGATGCAAACCATTATGCTGCTGCCACCTATCTAATCATGGCAAAATAAAATCAGTTCCAAAAAATTCCTATTCAATCAAATGCCAGGTGACAAATCACGAGGATGTACAAGGCCATCCATGAACATATCGTCTATTATTAAAACAATAAGTCAGACGCCAGCGTGGACTGAAAATGTTGACAACATATTTGTAATATACTCAAAATTAAATGTATGCCAACAAACCTAAGAGGAATTTGAAACAATCCCACCTGAGATGATGTGAGCAAGTATCAGGGACTCTTCAATCAATACAGCACGCGCGTGTGTGTGTGTAATGCCAATGCCAACGATGGGAAACGGTAGTGCCAGTGGTTAGCGTGCTGCGCTACGAACCCGGCAACCCGGTTTCAATTCCGACTCACGGCCAACACCGGTGACGATTATTTGAACTGGTCCTGGGCCTCCACTAGGTCGACTCAGCCTCAAATAAGTACCTTGTGCGGTGTGTAAACATCGCAACTGTGGAGACAAAGGGCATAGCGCTGGCCACCCACTCCCTCGTGTGCCGTGCCAGCCTTCTTTGTGTCTTTGCCAACACCATGGCAGACGTGTCGAGGTTTTTAAGAGCTAAACTCATACGATATAAATTTCATACTACTAAGTGCGTTAAGTTTTATCGACCGTGCTCAATTTGTTGGCTATTTATAATTGTTTAATAAGTAATGATTTTATGGGCGCGCTGGATGGGCTATTTATCTGTAGGACAGACATTAAGGACTAGATCTGGAAAGTGACCCATTGTTACTATACACTTGCATCATTTTAACCGTAGGTAATTGATCACATATGATGCCAAGGCACAAGCATAAGGTGATCAATTCTTCACGCAATAACCTCGCCGTGTCTTTAAACATCCACTTTATAAGCAAACGGTGTGACTTGGTAATGCCCAGTGGAATTTCACGATTGCGTGGTTTTCAAACGAACACAAAAACCTGCAACGGGTGCGTAAAAAGCTCTCAGCCACATACAGAAAAAAACACCAGTTTAGAAAAAAACTGTCCTGTGGTGGCAATTTGTCTGAGATCACCATCGCATGAATCGTGAAAATGTGATCAACCGACAAGCAGCAGTGAAACATAGAAACAAATGAAGACCAGTTTCATCCGCATTAGAACTCGTTAGTGAAGGACTAATCAATAATGCTGAGAGCGCTCTTTATACACACAGTGGATGTGTCTGTGTGTTGTTGAAACTTTATGTTTTCCGTCCTGCGCTAACTTTTATGTTGTGATGGGTGTTTTCATCATTTACAGATTTGAATGATCGTGGTGGAATTGAAGTCTGTGCAAACTGCCAGTGGTGAGTGCTCAAACCACCAAACTATCCAGTCTGTCTGGCTAACTCCAAGATCCAGATAATCACAACCTGGATAGCAAGGAGTTAGCTTTCTTTGTGCATTAAACATTGTGCTTAGTGCAAATGTCTACTGAGGTGAACACATTTTTTTCTTGGTTGTCTGGAATCCAATTTTCAATCGTCTAGAAATAGGCAGGTTGGACGAAGGGGAGAAAAAAACGAAAATAAGCCAAAAAAAATGGACAGACCTGTAACGGGAATTTCAGCTTGCACATCAGGATTATCAGCGGTAAACTTATGGAAGGGCTTTGGAGTTTATTTTAAAGTAAGCACAGCACAGAAAAATCCCTCAATTTAGTATCTGTGCACTAAATCTGAGGAGCACCTGCACCAACACGGTGCTCAGCTGGGATATCCACAGGCTCTGGCTCACAAGAAACAGTGAAGCCGTGCACTGAACATCTGATACCACATCCTGCAGCAGCCTTGATTTTTATCAGATCGGTCACCCATCTAAGCAATGGCCAACACCTAATCTAGCTCAGCTCCTGAGATCTAATAAGATCAGGCCCCAAGGCAAGTATCAGTTTACCCAAGTGAGAACTCCAACATGGTTTATTCCTCTTGAAATGAATACCGAGTGGTGCTTCCGAACGGCCCCTCACTCGAGAAAATGGATATAAAATGTGGCGCTAAACCTTCCCCTGCCACAAACAAGAATCTAATAAAAAAAAAACCCGACTATAACGGGTTTGAAAAATGGCTCCTAAATTTAACAAATCTGTGAGAGAAAAAAAAAACCACACAGTGGCAATATTAAGGGCTTAAGAGTCAGGTATATAAGACCCAGTGATAGCTTTTGAATAGAAAAAAAACAAGGCACGCGAGACCCACCAATGGGAAATGTGGTGTTCACGTTTATAAACCATATTTGTAATGTTTATCACGCCACAGTGTGTCGTAACAGTAATGCAATAGTTTCACTGGAAGGCAACTTCGACTGCAGATGCATTTAAAAACAATCTGTGGTACACGGTGCAATAAAAGAAACCAATATTACTTTTTGGAGAAAAAAAACGGCCAGGTTGCTCTTATCTTTCTATTTCTTGGAAGAGCAAAGTTTGCACTACTAAATATTCATGATTGAGTTTACCATCCTCTGTATGCATTACACAACACTTGTCAGTTTCATTGCTTCATTATAAGCATTAGGCACACACAGAAGCATCCAATGATTTAACTTTGACAACGTATTAACTGATAACCACCAAAATGGAAATAAACATAAATTACACCCCTTTGTCAATACTCCCGCTAAATGAAGACCCGCCAATGTTGTATTGCTCATTAGGGTTATTTAGTCAAATGTCACCATGTCTGATTGGTGCAGGGGGGGGGGTTGCCCTGGACCGGGTCGCATATCACTTGCCACTGATGCGAGCTACTGTCCGGAAATCACACCCATGTTTGTTGGGTTAACGGTGATGTGCGCTCACCATTGCTCCACTATTCCCGTGGTGGAGAGATGTTAACTCCCTCGCCTGGTATACAGGAGGTCGTGGGTTCGATCCCGAGCCTGTATATTTAGAGTTTGCATGCCTCTCCCCGTGGTCGCGCGCATTTTTTTCCAGGTCCTCCGGTTTTTCCCTCCACATTTAGAAACATGCGATTATAGTATTTGGTTGCTATAGATTTCCACATGATAAGCCACTTCGTTGAGCTATCATTTGTGGCCAGGTCGCTTCCGAAAAGGAGCTATATAGCTCAGTGTGCCTTTCCTGGTAATACAAATAATAGTTTATAGTTGTATACATTTGCTCCCCAGTCACAAATATACTGTGCTCTATACAGTAAAACAATAATTATACAAGCAGTCAAATACGTGCAGCATATGTATGCCTCTGTCTGTGTGTTCCTATTTCCATATCTTTTGTCTGTGTGTGTGTATGTTTGTGTAATGTGTGAGTGTGTGGTATTAACTGTGTTGGCATTGTGTGTGTGTGGTATACTGCAATGAGTACACAAGTAGGTAATGTGAAGTATGTTTAACACGTAGGCTTTCGTAAACAATATTAAGGAATAGATCGCGTAAATGTGCCGAAATACCCGCTAGCATATGGCACAGCCATATGAGTATACAGGTATACTCAAACATCAACCCTTTGCAGCAAATGGTTCTCGCAGTTTTTAGCAGCTTTGGAACAGATATTTCAGACACATTTGCATGCACACAAAACGTTCAGAATGGCAATAAAAAACCAACCCCTGTTCACAGTTGAGAGGTAAGACATGTCACATTAAATAACGAACATGTAATCAAGTGTCTCTCCGCTGGTAGTGTTCCCCCGGGGATTCTAAGGGCCGCTATTGGTTCCACGTGCGTGCGCACAAATGCATGCCTACACAGCGTGTTAGCTTGTTGTGTGTCTGTGAGCACAAATACACAAACACACACACACAATGGTCTGCAGTTGAGCTTTAGAGAGAATGCTGCATGGAAAGGGTTGTCCAGCAACAATATATGGCTGGCTTCATCTACCCAGTGCTGATAATTTACACACCAAACCAGGCACTCGCTTAAGGCTGAGTTCACCTAAAAGTCCAGAAACAAGATCTGAAACAATGATGTTTGCCATATTGCTATGAACCAAGACTCTTTCAGATATTTAAACAATTAATTTGGCCGTGAGTGGGAATCGAATTCGGGTGGCCGAGCTTGTAGTACGGCATGCTATCCACTGCAGTAATGCTCCCCACACTGTACATGCACACACAAATGCGCACACACAAACGCGCACACACAGACGCGCAAGCGCACAAGACAAAGTTCCCCCGTGTAGCCTTAACAGACTGTCGGGGTAGGTGCTGTTAGCGAGCACTTATGAAGGCCAGCACGGCACACGAGGGGGTGGGTGGACTTAGGGGAGGCCCAGGACCGGTTCAGATAATCGTCACCGGTGTTGGCCGTGAGTGGGAATCCAACTCGGGTCGCCAGGTTCATAGCGCAGCGCGCTAACCGCGACACTACCGCTACCCACACACACGCACAAAGACAAACATCCCCCATATAGCCTTAACAGACTGTAGGGGCAAGTGCTGTTAGCGAGCACCTTACACACACGCGCTCCTCATACACACCTGATGCTGCTCATGCTGGCTGTCTCCGACTCCTGCAGTTTGCATCTCTCCAGCTGGCTTGCCACGATGAGTCGCTCCGCCTCCAACTCACGGGTTAGCCGCTCAAACTGCAGCTCCTGTGGCGACAAAGACAAGATTCCCAATGTAGCCCACACAGACTGTTGGGACAAGTGCAGTTAGCGAGCACCTGTTCAGGCCGGTACAGTGCAAAAGGGGGTAGTTGGGCCAGCACCACACCAGGCCGCCTTTGTCTCACCAGAGCTGATGCTTACACACATTGCACTCATTTACGAGTTGACCTAGTGGAGGATCAGGACCGGTTCAGATGAGTCACTTATGTTGGCCAAGAGTAGTAAACAGCGATATAGTACACAGACACACACACACCATCAAAACAGTGCCCTCATGCTCAAATTCGCATTGGGCAAGTACCCATCCTACTCGCTGGTCCTGACCTAACGGTGGAAATTCCACATTACAGTGGCAGGAATCAATCTCTCTAAAGAAAAATCCATTAATCCTTCCCACCTGACGAGACTGTCGCACCATATGGTGCTCATTTGATCAGACCCAAGTGGGATGATGATCTCCAATGCCAGCAATACGAGACACACTGAAAGAGGATTGCGGGGGAAAATAAATCTGACGGAAATTAGCAAATGAACCTTATGGCGGGAACCCGGGGTTCCATAAGCCCCCGGCTCTCGCATACACTGCGTTGCAACGTCATTTTGTCTGTTGAAGGCGAACGACATGGCAATGTATTCCACTCGACGAGCTCTATACGATGAGCTAATTGAAGTTTAAAAGTTGTGTTTCTTCTGCGCATTCGTCCTCGTTGCTGCGCTTGGACGACACGACAACAGAATGATCCGTGCCAGGAGTCGCGGCGTTCATGCGCGCGGTGGGGCGGAGTCGCCAAAAAGAAATAGATTCATTACGATTTTGACTTCCGTTTTTTTTATTCGGGACCCCGGGGTCCCGCCATGCGGTTCAAATGTTAAGAAAGGAATATTGGCCCACGATCCTTACTTTTGGGAAGAAGTTAAACCAACCCTGGAACATTGTCAGTTTAATAAGGTGTAAATCAAATGTTTTTTTTCATTATTGAAAATAGAGCCCAGTTTCAATAATGTATACCGAGATAACAGAGGCTAACACGGTGTTATCAGGTGCTTAAACGGGCCTACTTGAGGGCACCCAGCGCAATCTATCGCAGTGCATGTTTTCAAACAGTTAGGAAACCAGGTGGAGCTAATGAAGTTGTAATTCGTAACGAGTGCCGTCAACAATCACCGTCTCAAGGAGTGGCAGCACCTGGCATAGGTAATGAGTGAAGAAAATATAAAGTTTGCACGCAGCTGCTTCTGGGAGCTGCTGGCAAATCCCAGCGGCTGCACGCGCCTTCGCCGAACACATGGTCGACAGCTCTGGAATTTCAAGTCCTCCACCCCCATAAGACACGCTTCTTATTGACCTTTTGCACCGAATGCCACGTGGGTGCCAACTGCGACGTGGAAACGACGCGGCAGTTTAAGAACGCGATATACGTAAATGACGATGCCACGCGCAAATGTTGTTCAAGGTTGATATCATTATTATTATTAATGATGTTGTTTACCACTAGGGTTGAGAATGCTAGTTGTGCTTTGTATAGGATATATGGGGAGCGAGCGGTGGCGCAGCAGTCTGCATAACGGTGTTGTTGATATGACGACATGAGTTCGATTCCGGCCACGTTTTAACGTCAGTGGCGGGTGACATCTGAACTGTGTCCTGGGTTGCCCTGTCGACAACCTGCACTGACTAGTGTGGTATGTGCGGACGTGCGTGCGTGCGTGCGTATGTTGAACTTCTTTCGCACCATACGTAGCCAACCGCGCTAATTGGAGGTGCGGGATGTACTAATCGGAGGTGTGGTGAAGTTATGTCAAACAACTCCCATGATGGAATGGGGAGGCCCTTCATCCAGCAATGCATTGACAAATGGCTGTACTTAATTTTTGGTGCATGTGTATCACAAGCACCATCGTCGTCGTCTTGTACAAGTTTTCATTTTCTCTCCAAAATAAACTCTTCCCACCTTGACGCACACATGACAATCATTACGCAGCACACGGCAGCCTTCTTCAAGGAAAATATCCCTGCAGCACGTGATGAAAACGTTACAGTCAAGACCGGGAAAAAAATCTAGACCCAGAATGGCATGCAAAAAAACAATCAACCACTGGAGCGGAGCTGCTGCCCTATCCCCCAACGACACACACGTGGACACAAATACAATTGAACACAACAAAGACAAAGATGCCCCCCCCGTATAGCCTGTAAAAGACTGTAGGGGCAAGTGCCACAACCCCCCCGTGTGGTGTAGTGGCACACGAGGGGGTGGGTCGCCAGCACCACAGCCGGCCACATTCGTCTCCCCCAGTGAGGAGGCATGCGAGTTCTGGATTCGCGAGTTTTGCATATATACGGCGAGTTACTAAAATGTATATTAATTCGCGACCGGACGGACTTGAGTTTTCGCGAGTGTTTGTAGTGCCTGACCACCGACACCGGGCAGGTGGGTGCTGAATGTTGTCACATTTGAAACTGCCTGCGAAGATTAGGAATGCCCCCCCCCCGGCTGTCCGCTTCATCCTCAAGTCTCGCAGTAATCGCGCTCTGAACTCGCCACTGTGCATTTTTGACTTCACACGTACTTACAGTCGACTCGTTTATACATTTTGGTACAAACGAGTCGACTCCGAGGTCGATAACAAAATGAACGCGAATGCAATCTGGGAAAGTGTTGCGGCTAACGCTCCCCAGAGACCTAAAATGATAACTGCGCAGCGTTATCAAACGCCGGCAATCTCCCAAATAGTCATCCTCCTGAATTCCTCACCACCACCACCTCCATCGTCATCATCAAAAGGTAATAATAATAAAAGTTGTTCTTTATATTTTTTATTGGAGTCATTGTTACGAAACATTTACCATCCCCCCCCCCGCCATGTCCACTTGTAACAGGAACGTAACCCCATTTTTCACATTGTAACAATGCTTCTGCATTCGCGAATTTTGTATTCGCGAATGTGTGTTTTTTAAAGAACGTGACCCTCGTGGATAGAGAGGGTTTCCTGTTTTGTGAACCTCTTTCGCACTGTACGTAGTCCGGCACAAGGTACTCATTTTTGATGCCGAGTCGATCTAGGGGAGGGCCAGTACTGGTTCAGATAATTGTCACTGGGTGTTGGTGGCTGCGAGCGGGAATCGAACTCGGATCGCCAGGTTCGTAGCGCAGCGCGCTAACCGCTACACTACCGCTCCCCACAACAAAGGCAAAGATCCCCCGTAACAATGTTGGGGCAAGTGGCCACAACACATACATACACACGAACACAGACGGCACAGAGTAGCTGTGATGACTTGCCATTTTGTCCGGTGGTGGGTGGGGGGGATATATGAACCGCAGCATCTGATAAATGAAAGTGCAAAGAATAATGAAGTTGACTTAAGCATTTTTAAACATGTTGTGTGTTTAAACGAGGATTCGTCGTGCCGATTAAAAAAAAAATAACGTGTGTACCCAACTAAACCAACATCTGGCTCTATAGAACGTCGGGCGTGCTTTTGGGGATGAAGCTAAACGCGTCATTACTGCTCAAAATCGTCATTCTACTGCCATCAGTGACTGCTGTAAGGGTGCCCCCTCTGTTCAAAACGAACGAAACACAAAACATCCACTGCACAAAAGAGCACCACAAAACAGATATATATGTAAGTGGTGTTGCCGAATGCGCTTATATAGCCGTGCATGCATGTCATGGCAAGCACATTCAGACACACTCAGTCGAGCACATAGTCACACGTGCATAAACGCACAGGCGTGCACACACACACACACACAAAAGACTGCATTCAAATGGCCTTTTTGTAAGTCGAAGCACGCACGCACACACACAAGACAAACGGCCCAAACTTGGTCATAGGCAATTGCACCGCAAACACAGGCACGCGCGAACTCCGCTCTCCCCGTTCAACCAACGCGTACACAATTCACATATCCGCGATCCTACGTTGTTGTATCCGGCTGCTTGGCTCATGTCCCGGGGAGAGAGAGAGAGACTGCAACTTCCAGGAGCAGCTACAACTGCTGCTTTAGGGCCGAAGAAGCGCGCGCGAGAGAGAGAACTCGGGACTCGGGGAAGCGGCTAGATGAGCGACATGCGCACAGAGCACCCAACCGCTCGGCTCTACACACCACTAACAAAACCCAACCCCCTCTACTCCTTCACCGACGAGGCTTGACAGCTGCCCACGGACAAAAGCAAGGGGGTGGCATGTGGGGGAAGGGAAGGGCTGCGGCAAGATGCAGTGTCGGGCTGATCATCATCATGCACCATTCTCAAGTGCATAAAGACTTCCCTCCCATCATCCACAGCTCTGTACAGCTGCAATCCATCTCCTCCCCGTACGTGCTAATGATTGTGTTGCGCTGTATCTGCTTCAGTGGTCCCATCACTGGTGTTCTTCTTTCTGGCTGCCACTCAATCACCCGTTTTGTCCATGGGACATAATTTATACCATGAAGTCTTGCCAAAAATGACATATGATAATAAAGTAATGTATTTGCTACCACGATGCATTTAAAAGCGCTTAAAAATTATGGAGGCAATACATTTGCGACATGTGTAAATTTATCATTAAATTATTGCATTAAAATGCAATATATCTTCAAATGTCAGAATACGTATTCATTAGAATTAATTACGAAAAGAAGTGTATTTAGAATGAGATTATTAATACCTCTCCAGGATTGTGAAATACTGTCATGGCATTGTGATATAACGAATGTCAAAGACAATATGAATCACTTTGCCACCCGTTCACCCTCCCCTCAACCCAAGTTATTTTCCTAACCAAGGCTCTCATTATAGAGGCAATTTTAAAAACTGTATCGAGATGTTGAGGCTTTAAAATAAATGGTTTACAAATAAGGAGACCTGTGGATGGCAGCATTGCTGTAGACATTTTTTTTCTCTACATCTCTCACTGAAGTTTTAGTGGGGTATCTATACATGGATTGCCCTGTACCCAGGGGCGGAGCCACAGGGGGGGCTGGAGGGGGCTTAGCCCCCCATGAAATTTTGGGAAAGCTGGTAATCGGAATAACCGGCTGCTGCAAAATGCTGCAAGCTGCCACCTCGTGCTGCCCTGCAGGCTGCCACCTTGTGCTGCCCTGCAGGCCTACCACCTTGTGCTGCCACCTCGTGCTGCCCTGCAGGCTGCCACCTTGTGCTGCCCTGCAGGCCTACCACCTTGTGCTGCCACCTTGTGCTGCCCTGCAGGCTGCCACCTTGTGCTGCCCTGCAGGCTGCCACCTTGTGCTGCCCTGCAGGCCTACCACCTTGTGCTGCCACCTTGTGCTGCCCTGCAGGCTGCCACCTTGTGCTGCCCTGCAGGCCTACCACCTTGTGCTGCCACCTTGTGCTGCCCTGCAGGCTGCCACCTTGTGCTGCCCTGCAGGCTGCCACCTTGTGCTGCCCTGCAGGCCTACCACCTTGTGCTGCCACCTTGTGCTGCCACCCTGCAGGCTGTCACCTTGTGCTGCCACCTTGTGCTGCCCTGCAGGCTGCCACCTTGTGCTGCCCTGCAGGCCTACCACCTTGTGCTGCCGCCCTGCAGGCTGTCACCTTGTGCTGCCACCTTGTGCTGCCCTGCAGGCTGCCACCTCGTGCTGCCCTGCAGGCTGCCACCTTGTGCTGCCCTGCAGGCTGCCACCTCGTGCTGCCCTGCAGGCTGCTTGAGCGGCAGCCTTGCGAACTTATCGAACTTACTAGCCACATCAGCGGCTCCGACCTATTAATAAACTCCGCGTTCAAATCCAATAAAATTTGTTTTACTGTATACATTTATGGCGCCCATTGGAAAACATAAACACTGGATATCTCAGAATATTGAAGTCAGCCCCCCCCCCCCAAAGTCAAAATCCTGGCTCCGCTCCTGCCTGTACCCCTGTAATATATATAGTGCATGTGTTGTGAGATCTATAAGACTGTAGTTCACAAGCTTCAAATATTGACTGCTTTTGCAGATGCTCACATTCATGGTGTCATTGTATTATAAATTGGCTGGAAGCTACCAAATCATTACAATTGTACATACACAAGTCATGTTCATGTATACATGAGCTTCTAAACACAAAGGGAAGTTGAAACTAGTTCAGAATGGGATAATACTGAAACATAGCGACACATATTAAGTTCACTCTGATGATCCCATACTTGTATATTTATCACACAAGCACACACACACATATATAGAATAAGGAAATTAATGTTAGGGGTTAACCAAGCAGAAATATAATGTAAAAAAAGCGTGAATCCGTACATACTTGTAATAGGCAATTTATATACACTGTTTATATATAGGTATAAAAGAGTAATAACAACTTATTTTGGTGGCTGCAATGGGGAGGGGGCACAATTTATGGAGCGGAAAGGCAGATATCTCAGGCCCCTGCACAACACATCAAATCTGACCTGTGACATTGAGCACGAACCCTGTTTGTGCACCAGGGCAGCGTGCGGCTGTTCATTCCTCATCGTGTATTTTAAAGAGTAATAATAAATCAAACCAACAGAAATCAATTTCCAAACGTGTCCACGGAAATGGAGCTCGCGTGCTCCCGAAATAGAGTCCACCGGGCAAATGTGATAAGGTGGGCTCTCGTCGTCCGTAGCCTCTTGCAGCAAAGGCCCCCCCCCCACCCACTTGTTATTTTACCTCGGCGTTTGCATCCGCGGTCCTTTGTCATTCTTTCCTGGGTAACCACCACCGCAATGGGTAACCGCATCCGATTCCACTCACCCGGACCGCGCAACAAATAAGACGCTCCGTCTCCATTGTGCGGGCCTGGTAAACCTCGCTGCTCGAGCAGTTAAAAGAATGGCTACAACATGAGAAACCGCAAAGAGCACTAGGTGAACACAAAAAACCCGGCCGTGTACAGAACCAGGCTGACTGTGCAAAACAGTGATCGTGAATGACAATTAAAGCAATTATCATTCAATCACTGGGCCAATGATCAATACATCCATTGGCTTATCGAGCTGTCTATCCATCTGTTTCCCTACTCCCTAGGTAGCCGATCTATCCGTAATGCCGCCCACCCCTGTACTCACTCAGCCCTAAGAACATTTATCCACATGTTCATCTAAGGTAGAAGACATTTATTTAACTCTCTAAATCTTAATTCTCCAAAACAACACCAACCTCTCTCCATCGGTCTACCAGGCACCCTGTCCTGTCTACCCATTAACCTAATTTATTTGTTCATTGATTTATCTATTCATTCACATACACATTCGTCCATGTAAATCTAAACATCCGCATATCTATAAAATTGTTTGACTATTTGTCATTGTAACCCATCTAGGATGCTACATAGTAAGTTTCCATCATCATAATTTAGGCTGCCAAATAACTGAAGTCTTCTTCCTGTGTGGTACCACCACAGCCATATGTTAACCAGTATCGGGCCTGTGATGATACAGACCGGTCTGCAACCCTGGTGAGGTCCTCCGCAGTGTCGAGCTCCGTGGAGAATCCTACCAATAACTGAAGTGCACAGTAAGTAAATAAGATTACTTTTGAGCAATAGCCCTCCTTCAGGGAAGAGCAAGATGTGAGGCAGGAAACAGTAACATTGTAGTTACGTTGTGGTCGCAAATCAGATGGGGATTTCTGACATCACTCGCTCTTTGGGATAAATGATCTGGCTCCGGCACACATGCTCCTTCGGTTTGCTATTTAGATGTACCACAGAACAGGGATGGGTCGAGCCTTTATTGCTGAGAAAAGCAGCTTGCTTGCTGTCGGGTAGGTGTCTGAAATTGACATGTAATTGGTGATATTTATATTATGCCAAACCAATCCATCGATCCATATACCGTGCGCAATTACCACATTCATATGCACATCATCCTATGGCGCTCATCCATCTCTATTTCGACAGACAAATTAGGAGAGCCCAAGTGAAGATGGTTGTTTAGCCGCACGTGGCGCTCAAACACTGCGCTGGCACGGCAGCAGGGAATGCGACGCCACACTGTGACTATTCCGTCACGCCTATTCAGCTGTCAAAATACCAGGAAAAAACCATGGGAAAAAAAGTGAAAATATGACCGCCGGGCAGAACATGCCCATGCACTCAAACCATTTTCATTTCCACATCCGAGGCCTGGAAAAGGATATAAATGTCCACACTAGACCATATACGTCCCAAATTATTAATCTTTGGCCAGGGACTTTCACAAAAACGCACATCGCCCCATACAATGGCCTTGAAATTTTGGTCGGTTACTATCGCTTACTATCGCTTAAATTCAGTCCAACGGAGTCGCCAGTTAGGTCCTGGGAAAGCGAGGCCGACCCATAAGAATTTGGAGAACTTGGATTGATGATGCCGTTGCTTGGGACAGGGCTCAGCAATGGGACAACTCGCAAGAATTGCTGAAGACAAGAGCCCTGTGGCGAAGGACAATCCATGTCGCGGCCAACTCTCGGGTCGAGGAAGGCTTGAAATGGAAAGGAGCCTCAGGCATTTGCAGCGTAATCCTAGGAACCCCAAAAATATGTAATCGGAAACAAGTGAGTAATCCTTTCCTATATGCACGAGTGCAAAGTTGTGTTGCAAATGCGTATAATGCAGCTGCAAGTTGTATTTAGCCGTGTTATCAAGACCAAAAAACCCACTGCTAAATACGTTTCAGCAATGTACGACTGCATCTGCTACATTGGCCGCACTATGTTAACGTCACTCTATACATGTACTTGCACACAATATGTGCGCGGATACATACGTATTACGAGCAGCTTAACTGTACGACAGAGCCTCAAAAATGCACCGATTTCCTGGACTGTAACCACTGCTTGCCGAACTGTAATTTCTGGTTCTGATTAAGGGCAGGCAGACAGGCATTGCTGTGGAAGCGTGTGAGCCACAGAGGGGGCATGTGCACGTGTGAGCACTCGTGTGCACACATTACGAATAGTAACCAGTGCTGTATTATAAATTGTTTTTTTATACTTTTTCAAGAGGGTCTTGCTTGCGATGTTCGGATAACTCACTTTGATAATAAAAAAACACAGTTATGCATGAGTCATGGCTACATTTAGTATAATTGGTGAGTGGTAGCCGAGGGAGGAGATGAACCGAAGAGGATGTTAGAGGAGATGGTGATGAAATCAGCTCATGTGCAGGTGCCAGGTGGATTTTGACACCACAGGAACATGAGACATGCATGTGGACGGCTTGGGTAGGCGTTGATTTGGGGCAGTGGAATAATCATCCCTGATAATCATGATGTTGTGGAGAATTGTGGTTATCATATAGACAGACGGAAAATAATCTTTACATTGGAAAAAAATGTTTCAGCCCATTTGGCCTTCTGGACAATAATAGGCCTGAATCTATAGATGAGATCCAGAAGGTCAAAAGTGATTAGCGCGTAGCCTGCTTAAACAAAGTCTGCTGTGAAACATTGGTCTGCTAGGCCAATAGGCCATTGGACTGAAGAAGCATTTCTTTGAGCATTTCTGAATGTGGGGGGGGGAAATCGAAGTGTCCGGAGAAAACCCACGAATACAAGCGAAGAACACCCCTGGTCTCGGATTTCACGGTTGTGCTGTATAGCTCTCCGATGTGTTTTGGGGTTGTACCCAATGGTGTTCGACATAACGTCCGATGTTTCGCTCCTGAAGAAGCTCCCTGCGCACATGCCGCAAAACATTGGAAATCGTGCCAACCAGAAAACACATCGGAGAGCTACGAACAAACAACAGTCGTTGAGGCCAGACAAATTGCTCGGCAAAAGAGCAGTGCTTGCTGTACTACATCATGCAAATAATAATGTCGGTGTGATCCACCAGTTTCACTGTATTAACAGACGTGGCCCATCGCCGCACCGGGAAAATACATTAGAGATGGGAGAGTCGGTGCATGGGATGTGTGGGAGATTTACATGGAGGCCATGCAGAGCTTTACCGGCGAAATGCCTTCCGATTAAATGCTGCAAGACTAAACTGTGAAAGAAATGCGACATATTTAACGTCAGGCTATTGAACAGTACCAC